CCCCAAAACCCCAAAACCCCAAAACCCCAAAACCCCATGAGAACCAATATCCTAAATATGATAAGGAAATTTAACTAATAGATTAATAAGGTATTGATTCTCATTATGTCATTTTATCCATAAAACTCGGACACACAAAAATACTCATGCTAATCTATCTCTCCATAAAAATATCTCCTATTATTTGAAGTATCTCCTGTCTTCTTCGTCGACCAATACTAAATTAAGGAAATACCTGACAGAAAATCTCTTATTAACATTGTCATAGGTTGGAGTAAGGTCAGTAGAGACTAGATAAAATCTTATGGGAATGCATTCACCCTTCACAGGTGCTCCATCCATGACTTCATATTTATTTAGATTTTCACTTTCTGTAATTGCACTTTAATTAGATCCAACAGTCTCTTTTTTAATGATGTTGAGCTCCATATGTTTTATTTTTATTCTAACTAGATTGAAATAGACTTTGCCTAAAACGCAATCTCTCATTGTGAACACAGATCGCGAGAATTCAAATTCGATATGTAGGCAATCTTCAATACCAACCTCCATTTTGATTGGCTTATCGACCCAAGTAGATTCACTTATTGGATTAAACACGATAAATTCTTCCTCCTTAGTTATTCTATTATAACTCCTATTTATAACAACATGGACGTAATATCTATAGAGATTTGTCATTCCAATCAATCATACCTTAGTCTGACTGTGATACCATTGTAAGTCTCAAATTGCTTCTCTACTCTATTAAAAGCAAAGTTATACTCAGCTGAATCTGTCAATGCTCCAGGGGGTTCTAGTTCTTAACCAAGTTGAATGAAGTTAGTTGATTAAGATTTTTCGAATAAGTTCTCAATTGTGCCAATGAGTTCAACTTTAATACCTTGATGGTCAACTCTTGATTTCCCTCTTATCATCTCAATTTTAATTTTCCCCTTTATATCATCACCATCCTAAGCATCATTAAATCAAAACAACTTTACAAGGAAAACAGGTGCTTTATATGTCTAGCCAGATCTATCCTTGAGAGTTGCCATTTTTCTTCCCTCAATCTTGTTAAACATAACATGGATGTTAACTGGTGGAGCGAATCCAAGTAAGGAACTCTATGTAAAAGTCTTATTAGGAAATAAATATTACTAGCATCTTTAAATTATTGAAATAATATTTTATAATTTATTAGACATTTCAATTATAATCATTAACTTGATAAGCGGGGTTTTGGGGTTTTGGGGTTTTGGGG